TGCCTATTGGGTCAGACGGTGTCACCGCTCTTCCGAAGGAGCGTTTCCTGCCAGATGTGAGCCAATGACAGTGCGTCCCCTCTTCACTGGGTTCTCCGGGAGGGGCGCGGCGAAGGAGTGAGGCTAAAAGCCGAGCACATCTGCCTAGCAAAGCGCCTCGCGTTAGCGAGGCCGTGTCCCCTCTCCATCTCTCCCTGCCCCAAATTGTAATAACATGATTGTGCTATTTTTGATTCCTTATTTGCGTGGAAAGCCTGTTGTTTTTTCTTTCCTTTTTCAGAATCCAATTTTCTCTTGACATTTCTGCCTAATGTAGCTAAACATGACCTTTGTGAAAGGACACTTCCAGCAAGATGTGCTCCCTCCTCTGCAGCTTTGTCTGCCGTTCTTCTACATCTCTCTCTATTTCTCACCCATCGCCCTTTCCACCCTCCCCTCTTCTCTCTCTGGTGGGGGGAACTGTAGAACATTTACCGGCTAATCTTTCTGTAGCAACGGGATTTTCCTACCCTCTCCTCATCTGGCGGTGCCAGACTTCCAAAGGTTGACTCTTCTCTGAGGGGCACTGCAGTCCGATTCTCTGGGGCATGCTTGCAGGTTGTGCCCATTTCCCAAGGCTTTCCTGCGGATGGAAGTGGGAGCCATGGGCTTGTCTAAATGGAGACTTAGTGCGTGGCATGCTGGGGCGTAAACCTCCAGCGCGCTAGCCTGCCGCACACTAGCTGGCTGTGTGGACCTTGCTGCCGCGCCCTGAGTTCCGTAGTGTGGTTTGATCCATTGCTGAGTGAAACCGTAGTAGGTCCAAGCGCACTATGGAACTCTTAGCATGCAGTAGCAAGGTCCACACGGCCTGTTAGCATGCAGCAGGCTAGTACGTTGTGGATTTACATCCCAGCTTGCCACACGCTAAATCTCTTTTTAGACAAACCCAGTGTTTCCACAGTGTTGGGAATTGAGGGATCTTTGCTGCCTCAGTGAGATTCTTGCAGTTTGCAGTGCTTTATGCGCGGTATGATGTAGCGTGACATGAAGCCACATCTTATGGATGCAGCGGAGTCATGTGGCTACTACCACACAGCTGTATGACACCAGGACACGTGATGGGATTTATCCTCTAACCAAAGTGAACGACGCGTATTTGGGAGTGTTTGCCTTGTAAGCAGCACAGATGTGTCTGGGCTTCAACTGCAGAAGTCCAGATCTGACCTCTTCAGGAGAGGTTGTCCTAAGTTAGGGCAACCCCTGGAGCTGTTCTAACCTATGCCGCCTAGAATCTGAGTGGCAGAGGGGTGACTTAAAGTGACATTTGCCCTCCAACCCCCTGGGCTATGGCTTGTGTGCTACATGTCTCGTAAAGCAAAGCCTAGACCAGGGATGGCAACCTTTGGCATGCGGCCCATCAGGGAAATCTGCTGACAGGCTGGGACAGTTTGTTTACTTGCAGTGTCTGCAAGTTCGGCCGATCGCAGCTCCCACTGGCGGCGGTTCGCCGTTCCAGACCAACGGAGGCTATGGGAAGCGGCGGCCAGCACATCCCTCGGCCCGTGCCGCTTCCCGCAGCCCCCATTGGCCTGGGACAGCTAACCGCGGCCAGTGGGAGCTGCGATCGGCTGAACCTGTGGATGCTGCAGGTAAACAAACCATCCTGGCCCGCCAACAGATTTCCCTGACTGGCCGCGTGCCAAAGGTTGCCGATCTCTGGCCTAAAATCTGACATTGACTCTCTCCTGGAGGCTGGGTGGCACACTGGCTTGTTATTGCAGCATCCTTCAGGCAGGTTGTGTTGTAGAGGCCAGGGTGTCTCAAGTGGGCTGGCTGGGCAGAGACCCAGAGCCGCAGGTTTCCAGGGGCTTTGTGAGGAAGATTGTGAGGAGTTCTTCCAAGCTGGAAAGGTAAAACTCCTTCAGAGACTCCTGTATCCAAAAAAGATCAGTTTGGATTTGTAGGACCCATCCCATTTATTGCCCCTAGCACTAAATACCTGGCCTCACTGTATATTGCTTTCTTATTCTGAGCATAAGAGCCAAGTGACTCTAATAGCCCAAACCCTTCAGACTCCCTCCTATATCAAACCCACGTAGAGCCGAAGTCCGTGTCCGCTCTCAATGCTGCCTCGTGCTTATCCCATTTCCCTGAGTCTGATGGGGATCCTCGTGCTTGGCCTATAGCAAACTTGGCTGCCTGGAGCTGCCTTCGTGCCACCACCTCCTCTTGCCCCATATTTCCTCTTTAGCTGGCTGCAGATTTAATGAGGCTTTGGATCTCTTGTTCATGTCTCTTGCTCTTCGTCGCCATTCTCCGTGAATAAGGTCACAGCATGAATGATCTCTGCAGCCAAGGAACCGTTGTCATAGCTGATAAATTGCCATGCCTGCCCAGGCATAGGTGACCAGGGCAATGATGATTCAGATGGGCCAGCAAAGGGGAGGGAAATTAGAGGATGAGGAAGGAGTTGAGTGGCATGAGAGACAGAAAGGGGTCAGTGCTTTAATGGGAGGGAGGGAGATCAAGGGAAGGGGTGCCATTGGTGATTAATAAGTGTGCAGAACCCCACTGCTGAGAAGGGGGAAAGACAGTCCTGAAGCAACTCTACTCTGCAAATCCTGTTCACTGGACGTTCGTTGCTGGCATGCAGCGATGGAGATGGCTTCCCGTTCCTCCCCATGCAGCGGGTTCTCCCCCACTAGCAGCTCTACAGGAATGAGCTCCCAAACCAAAGATTCTCCTGGGCAGATATTGCTGTCTCTGCACTCAGGGTGTGGGACCCCAGATCTCAGCCTTCACTGTGACTTAAAAAGCCAGACAATGACTTCAGGGGTTACTGAAGTTTATTGCTGAACTTCCAATTGAAGTCTAAGCTCGGGATTCGCCTGTGATCCACCCCTACCTCTTGGTTCTTGCTGTAAAATGGGAGTTTGGTTGGGAAGAAGAGACGGCAGAGTTAATTAGGCTGTAATTAGGAGAAGGCTTTATGATCACTCACGCTGATGATTAATGGTTTGAAATTTTTGCCCCTAGTTTCTGCAGCTGTGAGTTTTCATGCTCAAGTTGTTGCAGGTGCAAAAACTTCAGCGTGCAGGTGCGAGCTGAATTTGTGTGTGTGTGTGTGTGTGTGTGTGTATGGTCTGAGCTGCCAGGTGTGTAGCTTTGATGTGCAAAGCTGTGAGGCCTAATTTTTCTTCGAGTGCTTGCTCATGTCAAGTCCATGTTAGGTAAGTGCGCGCCCACGTGCACAGCTGCCGGAGATTTTTGTCTTACTGATATCCACAGGGCCAGCTCTGGAGCTCCATGCTCATGTGCTGGTATATGATGCGCCACCAGCCCTGCGCCCTATCAGTTCCTTCTTACTGCCTGGGGCTGTTGCTGGAACGCCTTTCCTCTTGTGACGGCAAGTCCTTTATGGTGTTTCTCCTTCATAGTTTCTTGTATATAGTTGTTCATAGAGTTAGTATTTAATAGTTAGTAAGTTACAGTTAATTAGTGGTCCCCTTAGAGACGTCGTCCCAAGGATGGGGCTTGCTCCGGTCCCTGGGCTTCAAACCATGTTCCGCTTGCCATAAGCCTATGCCTGTCAGCGACCGCCATGCAAGCTGTCGGAAGTGTTTGGGAGAGACGCACATTAAAGATAGGTGCCGATTCAAGACCTCTGCAGAGCCACTACCTGGTCTTCAGTCCATACCTTTGTGTCCCATTACGCCATCACCCAGCAGGCTCGGGACGACTCCAGCTTCAACAGAGCAGTGTTGCAAACAGCACATCTGTGAACTCTAAGCCCACCTCCAGGGATACTGCTTAGAAGTCACCTAACATGGAATCACCATGAGCAAGCACTGAAAGGAGAAAAAACGGTTACTAACCTTCCGTAACTGCTGTTCTTCGAGATGTGTTGCTCATGTCCATTCCATGAATCGGAGTTGACGGCAAGAAGGAACTGAGAGGCCACAGGGCCAGCAGCACCTCATATACTGGCACACGAGCGTGGGGCTCCAGAGGGCACCAGAGCTGGCCCTACGGATACCACTAAGGCAAAAATCTCTGGCAGCCATGCACGTGGGCACGCGCACACACCTAACATGGAATGGACACAAGCAGCACACCTCGAAGAACAAGTTATGGAAGGTTACAAACCGTTTTTGGGGGTTTTTTTGAGCGAGGGTTGAGGATCCATTGAACATTTTGCATTTTACGAAATGTAGGTTCTTTGTTTTTTCCCGTCATCTTAAAATGAATCAATAATAAAATACAGGCGACCCTTCCGTCTCTGTGTGTGTGTGTCTCTCTCTATCTTTCTCTTTCTCTGCCTCTGTCCTCTCTGAGCTAGTCTTTGACCCCTGTTTGCTCTCTCTCCCATCTCCAGCTCTTTTTGTCTCTCTCCTTCTTTTACTTGACTCAGTAGACGTGGGCACTGGTTTGTAAAATGTTCCCAGAGAGAGAAGAGGTCACATTTCTGTAGTTCAGGGCGGAGTAGTGCTAGGAGGTGGTTGTTCTTAGTTGCTACAGCAGCAGTTCCTTTTGGTGTGAAAGATGCAGAACCTAATGGGAAAACAAATATACAAATCCTGTTTTAAAATTTCCCTTCTCTGTGTTTCTGTTAACACTTTGGACTGTTACAGTTCAAATAATTCTAAAGATTAGCATTTTGTTTATCTCTTGTATTTCACTTGAGTTTGGAGAGTGTAACCGGGCTGATCAGTTTTCCTTTCTGTTTGTAGCAGGTTCCCTTTCCGGTTCTCAAGTATAGTTGCAGGGAATTGTTCTGTTTGTATTTTTCACATTGCAACAGAATATGGACTGTTTTCACAAAAAGGAAGGGAAGTCTTCTATCCACATTCAGTGTCATTAAAATATTTTTACTAAACCTTAAGTTGGGGCCTTAGACGACTTGATAGCCTCCCTGTAGCTGTAAACTGTAGGGGAAAATGATGAGCTCTGAGGAACCCTGTAGGGTCTGGTGCAGAGGGAATTATTCACCATGAATTCTTTCTCTTGTTAATTTTCAGAAACCTCTCCGATAACCGGCTTACCACACTGTCATGGCAACTCTTCCAGACACTGAGGCTTTCTGAACTGTAAGTTCCATCCTGGAGGGATCTCCTGGAAGTGGGGTGGGTGGGAGGGGGTACAGAAAGTCCCCCCTGAAAAAAGATTAATTTTGAAACCGGTGATATATGAGTGTGAATAATTATCTAAAATCCCAGAGGGCAGAGTGAATTCTGGAAGGGGTTCCTGGGCACGGAAGCACCAGAGCCCTGCTGCTTCTTTGTTAACTTCATAACATCTTGTGAACTGATGTTTGGGGCTGATGAGAAAGCCATTTCTGGGCTTATAACTGTTTGGTTAAATGCAAGGCCAGATTTTAAGTGGACCTCCATAAGGGCCAGACCCTGTGAGATGGGAAGAGTCCTCCACTCTCATTCATTTGCAGGCTATGGTTGGTTGTACGGCAAGGGTCATCCAACTGTGGAGGGGTGCATTTCGTAGGCAATGGTGGCTGTAATGATAGGTCACTCCCTTGCTCTTGAGTAACCAAGGCACCTGCCAGATCCTGTGTGGGCGAGAGGCGAGTATCTCTCCTGGGTCACCTGAGGGCTGCAGCCCACTGAATTATTGATAAAGCATGCTCCACTGCGTCTGAAGAGTAAGTGGACATGAAATCAATGGAGCGCTGCCCTGGTGACCTGTTTTGTTGAGTTTTAGAAATAGTTGTTCAGTGGATATAAAAAAAAATGTACGATTTATCCCAGAGGATCATGGGATATCCCATTCATCCTCACCTGTGATCAATACAGCTGTAAGCTAGAAGTGACTTATGAAAGAATAATGACAGTCTCTCAAGTGGGAGTAAATGTGTTATCACCGCTGTTACTGCAGTGCATTTTATTTCTGTCAAATTGTTAAATGAAAAATACTAATAGTGATATTAGAAAATAAAGAAATACCCATCCGATGGGGAATCTGGCTCACAGAGTTAAACGCTGGATTTGGAATTCATCTCTGCACTGATTGCAGCTCACACGAGTTCCAAGTCCTGGCTCAGGTTTCAAGTTTAAAAGAGGTGAGTGGCTTGTAGTCTTAGGTTTCCATTTGTTCTCATTGCACCATCTGGCACAATTCAGATTAGTGGTTGCTAGCCAAGAGAGGCCCATGAATGGAAGAGCAGGGGGGCTGCAGGTCCAGACTGAGGTGCATTGGCAGAGTTGTGGGGGAAAGCCCAGGGCTGGGATAACAGGGGGGTGCTGCAGATCAGGACGGGGGTGCTTTTGCAAAAATCGTTGGAGTCAAGCTCTAGAATGGGGTATGCTGCAGATCAGTGTAAATACTCTCAATGTTAATTTGTTTTTAAATGGTTCTGTCCCATTTGGTTATACCGCACTTCAAGTATATCCCGTGTCTACATCCCCACATCAGGCCAACACCAACAATGATGGAAACTGAGGATCCTTCATATTTGGGCAGCAAAAAAATTAGCCAAGAAGCCTCTTTCTTGGCCTACAACAGGGATTTCGATCTGGTTGAGCTTGCTTCATGTTGTGGCAGCAGGGTAGCTCATGTCCATTACTCGAAGGGCTGACGATCAGGTGAGCTATATGAAGGAGGAGAATGGAAGTGGTGTAAACAGTCCAGTTCCTTTTGGAGCCTCTTGCAGAGTGGTTTTGTAGGAGGTAGTGAGCCTTGGCTGGCGGGAGAAGTAACATGGATGAGGTTGCTGGGGATCAAAGAAGGGGGAAAATGGCACTGCCGTTATGAAGCGGTGTGGTGGGTGCTATCCCTTATAAAGCTTCAGGCCTCTAGGGCTGGGAAAGTATTAACTCCCAAGTGTGTGCGCCTCAAGCTATCAAAGTGGCTCCTAAGATGGAAAAAACCCATTGGGTTTAAGTCCTTCATTGAGAGTTATGCCTACGGGGGATGACTTCCTTTGAGCTGAATCAGAATCAGCATACAATCAGCATACAGTTCAGATAAACAGAAGTTTCCAGATGGGATCCTGCTCTGCAACAAGTCTCCGTCCAGCTGGACCGTGGTCAGGCTGGTGGTAAGCAGTAGGACAGGACAGGGATGCTGCTCCAGGAAGTCTGGAAGAGAGAGGGAATCTTTCTTAGCAGGCTGGGAGAGTACCAGTGTTGGCGGGAGGTGTGCTTTGAGCACCTCCGCTGGGATAGGGACGAGGGTGGCCTGGGTTGAGAGAAGACCGAAAGGGGTGGAAATCAAACTACAAGGCTGAATAATTGTGAATGTGAAGATGCTAGAGAGTGAGGGGGAAAGAGAGAACGGAATAAATGTATTGCACGCAGGGTTGACCCCTAAAGCTCAGAGGGCAAGATGAGCGCAATGGGGAATAAATCTCCAGCAGGTTGGGGAGAGGTTAAGAACGGATGGTCCAGGAGAAACATAACATTTAAAAATCCCAAGAGGGTCAGCCAGTAGAAGACATTTATGTCATATCAAGCTACAAGATGGGTTACAAGACTTGGGAGGGAGGTGGAATACACAGTCCACACAAGGTGACAGTGTTGTACTGGTGGAAGCTAGAGAGAGAGCTGCAGTGTGAGGTTGGCTAAGAACTTGAAGGTGAGCCAAATCTCTCTTGAAAGGAAGAAAGTAATGAAACGAGAAGATAGATGCAGAGAGACAGCAAGCGTGAGAAAGTCAGGTTGAGTCGTACGAGCTCTGCAAGGCCTTGGGGAGGCAGGAGAAATATTACAGAAGACACAAGAACACATGTTCGCATGATGTGTACTATCCTCCAGAGCGATGGGAATATAGGAAGATGAGATGGGGACAAGCTGGCCTTCTAATGGCAACAGCTGCTGCTGCTTAAGGCCAAAGATGGAGTGGCGGTTACCGAGAGGACATCCGGCAGAGTAGACAGCCCCAGCTGGTTAGGAGGGGCTCGTCACTTGAACATAACCAGGCAAAAAGGATCTGTTAGCATTTCAGGGCATCAAGAGGCAGAAATGTCAGTGCAGGTAAAGATGCCCCCAGGGGGCCAGCTGAAAGAAGTGGAGCAAGCGGTAAAGGTAATGGTGGGAATGTGACAGATCGGAGACCTGGGCAGTGTAAAGAGTTCAAATGACTCTACTAAAATGTGCCAGGCAGGCCTTAGCGCTTTGGGACAATACGTGTTAAATGGCTTTCCTGGGGAATACCTGGGGAGTTTTTAAGGCAATTGCCACAACTCCGGTTTTGCAAGAACCCAGCTTTTCGGGGCTACACCCTAAGGAGAGGGCCATCAACTGGTGATTGCCTGCTATGGGAGTTCAAGCACTGACAGCTGCCAGAGCCCTATGTTGGAGTTGGGGTGACCCCAGTAAGCTTTTAGGATGCAGGTAGGTGCTTTTCTTGGGTTTTTGTGTGCTTTCTTTGTAATATTTTGACTTTCAGAATAAATGTGCTTATTTAGAAGGAGCTGTGTGTTAACTTACAGCGGCTGGCCACACACTGCTCGTTGCCCTTGGGGAGAGAGCAAAGCGCAGGCGCTGGCCATTTAGGGAGATTGGATTGCTGCGGGTATCAGGGAGCTGTGCCGTCTCAGGTCCAAGCCAGAGGGGAGTGAGATGCAGGTCTCTGCCCAGGAGAGGTCGCAGCTGGAAGCCCTCAAGGGACCATGGAGGAGGAAATACAGGTGCAGTTACCCTGAAATGGTGACAGGGAGAAACAGCTCCTTGGGGTGGATTGGGAGGAGAGGCACTGCAATGGACATGACATGAAATGGAGAGCGATAGAGAACGTCAGGTCTGATGAAGCCATTCACAGCAAACGCAGGAGAGGAGAGAGCACGGAAATAGTAATACCAGGATCATGCCACCCGTAAGATCTGGCTGACATATGGGAATTTCCTGAGGAACTCCAAGCTTCAGTGGGTTTGTGTCTGCCCTTTAGGCACATGGAACCAACAGCCTCCTTGCAGGAATGAGTAGTTTTTTGCAGGCTAGGGCTTCTTTGTCGTTGGCCAGAGCCAACCTTCTCCCCAGCTGACTGTTCCCCCAGAGCGACTGGCAAGAGGTCAGCTCCTATTGATGATTTCTACACGTTCCTCACTCCTGCTGGCCCAAGCACCGAGCAACTGGTTCTTGGCATCAAACATAAGGCAGATCCCTCTTGGGACAGGATGACTTTGTATGAATACAATACAGTGCATTACAAAGGAAAGTCCTGATCCACTCCTTTTCAGCCAACACCACAGGGACTTGAGAAACAAGAGGTTTGGTACCAAAATATACCTCCTCCACTCCTGGAAAAAGCCATGTCTGGGGATGGCTTGCTGTGAGTCAACCCCTAACTCTCCTAGGCTCAGAGTGACCTTGTTGGGCAGGTCTCCAGCCAAAAGATGTGCAGCTCTTGTGAGCTTGTAGTGTGCTGAGCTCAGGGAAGCTTCAAAAACATGCAATAGCTCATAAACATTGGACTTACAGGCCTTGTTATCCAGAGGTCACTGCTGGCTTCTTCCGTCATGCCCTGGGAGAGCTTGGGGCTGACCTTTCAGGAGAGTTTTGTAAAAAACCTGCCCCCAAAACTGACCTTCCCAGGGCAGTGAGAGATCCAAGCCTTCCTTGATCCAGTGGCATCTTTCATTTTATAAAACCTTGGTGTTACAGGAAACTCCTCCCTCACCCAGACCTCCAGTCCTTCTAAAGCAATCTGTAACTGCCTCATTGCCCTGCAAAACATTTCCATAGTGCTGTTGTGAGAGGTGACGGTGCTGAATGGGGCACAGCAGGGTGTCTGTTAATATCATGAGCACAAGTTAATTTCACATGTGTCCGTTGCTTGAGGACTTATTGCCACCGACAGGCACGCTAATGGAGTTGGCTATACACAAGAGGGGCCTCCCTGCTGGGTGCAGGGGACTAATTCAGCAACCAGAAACCATGCCTCGCTCTGTAGATTAAATCTCCCCTTCTTGTTCCATTGCCTGCCACCAGGGGTTCTGAAATGATGAAGCCAGATATTTTTCCTTCTTTGCTGGGCACCCTGATTCACTTGGAGGCTCAGCAAAGGAGGTCAGAGTCCCTACCTGGGAGAGTGCTTTAAGCCGCAAGCATACAAAACCTCAACTCTAATTTTATAA